AGAGAGAGAGAGAGAGAGAGAGAGAGAGAGAGAGAGAGAGAGAGAGAGAGAGAGAGAGAGAGAGAGAGAGAGAGAGAGAGAGAGATGGTGGTGCAGCACTCCTCTTAGCCACATCAGAAGGTGTTACTGTACTTGCCGAAAAGGAATCTTTTTTTTTTGTTTGTTTTTTTGTTGGCGAAAAGGACTCTTGTGCCAAAACAAAAGGTGAAAAACAGAGTAGGGAGGCAGGCGGAGGAAAGGGTGAAGGTTGCAGCCGCTGCACATTACGATAGGTAATGACAGCTCTATGCACTCATTGTTGTTAACCGATCAAACCGACAAACGAATTAAGAATCAAACGTACTTGGTATTTTTAGATTTGGTGAAGTAAATGACAAAATTAATCCAGGCATGACATTGTTTGAAAGACAGTCTTAGGTTGCTTGGAATCTGAGCACTATAATCTTAAGCCTTCACATTTGTTGGTTTGTTTTAAATTTCTGTTACATGATCCCATACAGAGGCTGTTGCAGATGCGGTCCTTTCTCATGAATCCCCCCAAATGGATAAGAAGTGAATTTGTGCGAGAGGAGTTGAATTCCCTTGCTCAGCTGTATGGATTGAAAGTAGATTGGCCCCAGAGAACCAGATCAAGCAGCCTTGCAACCTTAAATAAGACGCAGGCCACAGTACCAGCGGATGGAACAGCAGCAACACCAACACCAGCACCAGCGATACCAGTCGATGCATCAAAAGATTCAAAAGACGCAAGCCATGCAAACGATTCAACGGACCCATCGAAAGATGCGTCGAAAGCTGCTAAAGACGCAAGCGGTGGAAAAGATCCGAAACAAAGCACCAACGAGCTTGAGAAAGTAAGTGTGCTCAGGTAGTCCACACACTACCAGTCTGTAACAAATCAGTTTGAAATTCGTAGTTGAGTCGAACTTCAAGTTGTCCCGAAATCACAGGGAGGAGAACTGAATCCCTTGAGTGTCATCTAACAAGCTCGGATTTGGTGTCATGGTTCAGAAAAAGACAAGTACTTGGCCCAGCCATTCTTTTGAAGCGCAGGCTTATACATGGCTTTCATCACTGGCCCACTCGGCCCCACTGAAGTGGCCCCGACCCCAACAGGGTGCCTTCAGGGGCCGGGGCAACTTCAGGGGTTGAGGCCACTTCTGAAGCCCGTTAATGAAATTTGGAAAAGCCAGTTCTCATCACTGGGCCACTGAAGTGGCCCCGACCCCGAGAGGGCGCGGCGTAGCGTGTGTATACGGCCTATGGGGGGCCAAGTCCCACTAGCAGAGGTGAGTTTCCTCAACGCCTGAATCTGGACGTGTTTGTGCGATGTGAGGTTGAGGAAACTCAATGCCATTTCTGCACATCTCCACAAATACGTCCAGATTCAGGCGTTGAGGAAACTCGACGCTGCTAGTGGGACTTGGGCCCGGGTAAGTACTGGCAGACTGTGGCAGTTCAACCACCAGTACCTTTCTCGGTTTGAAAATACTCGGCCTCCGACCTTTCAGGAGGCCGAAAAGAAACGACGGCCGCCGATCAGATTGACCGACGTCGGGCTCGGCCTCTTGAAAGTTCGGGTACTGGCCAGGACTTGTCAAACCGGACGCCAAAGGTCTTTTTTTTTTTTTTAAACTCCACCTGTGACCGCTGCACAGTTCCGAATTCGCAGAAATAACAGTCCACTTCTCTTATCAGCAGCACTAGCACAGGAAGAGATGTTTTTTCAAAAAAAAAAACTGCAAGTTTGGGCCAAGACCAGTTAGAAACAGCAAAAAAAGCAGTGAAGTGTGCTTTAGACGGCCTACAGGTTCGATAATCGGCAAAAAAGGGAGATGGCCTGGGCTAACAGGTACCCGTAGCAGGCCCTTCCGTTTTTTTTTGTTTTTTTTTTCCCTTTAGGGCTTCTGGCGGGAATGTGTTGGGGCTGGAAAACGATCCCACTTCGTCAGTACGTGCCCCGTTAACACCCGCCCCATTCTCTCTCTCTCTCTCTCTCTCTCTCTCTGTGTGCTGCTCGGCACATCGAAGTGCGAGTGTATCTGGTCCATAGTCTGGGCCAGTTACATTCGCACCTTTTTTTTTAAGATGCTAATCTTATCTTCTCTGTATGGTTCCAATCTCTCTCTCTCTCTCTCTCTCTCTCTCTCTCTCTCTCTCTCTCTCTCTCGCTCGCGTCGCCGCCCACTCCCTCTCTCTCGTCGCCGCCCACTCCCGCTCGGGCTCGCGCTCTCGCTGCTGCCCCCTCACCCACCTACTCCTGCTGCCTCTCTCTCTCTCTC